ACTAAGATTCTTAAATACACATATCCTGATGCTGCTTGTTAAATCATATTTTGCTGTACGGTATGTCACATTAATATTACCATTTCTATTAAATTTTGGGTGTTTTTTTTGTTTTTAAAATGTCTTTTTGAAAGGTCTCAAACCAAAATGGAGGTAAAATGCTAAGGAAGAACTTTCACTCCAATTTTTTTTTTTTTGTTTAACAAAGAGATCAAATATTTATTGCTAACAAATTTAAGAAGAGTCTGTACAAAAACAGTATCTCCAAGACTTCTCTAAAATCAGACATTATTTAAGGGTGGAAAGGGAGGTTTGGGAGCATAGGGTTTTTTTGTTGTTGAGTTTCTTTTAGGTTTTCTGTTCTTTTCTTAGGAGTTCTTAATAGGCAGGCATACTGGAGCCATGGAAGCTTTCTGGGTAACATCTCTTCTGTCACCGTTCTCTCCCTCTACCAGCAGCTGTATATTACCTTGCTGTTTTGCTAAGACAGTGAACACACAACTATTAGATCTGTTCTACCACTGGCCACGAACTCACAGAAATACAACCAAGAACACTAAGTCTCCATTTACCACTGGATAGTAACTTTCTTTCCTAACTAGTTTAAAAGCGAAAGACTGAGTGAAGCAGATTAATTCAAAGCCTATTGAGTCTTCCTTGTACTTTACCCTTGATATTTCTTTCTTCATGTCAGATTGCCCCACTCCCCCCTTTTTTTTAATATTTGGAACATCTGAAGCAATATGGAAACAATGAATAGAAAAGGATTATTCACTCTTATACTACAAGATCTAAGGAGCATCAAATGAAATTATGATGTGGCAGATCTAAAACAAGCATAAGGAAATACTTCTCCATATAGCACATAGTTAAACTGTGGAAGTCCTTGCTCCAGGATATTGGGATGCCAAAAGTATACTTGGGTTGAAAAGGTCAATGGCTAAATTCATAGAATAAAAATCAGTCAAAAAATATTAACCACAAGTATATAGTATCTGGCTTAGTCAGTTCTACAATAACAGATTGCAAGAAGCTGGATGCATACACTCTGTTTGCTTAGTCTGTTCCTATACTTTTCCTTGGACATCTGTTAGCGGCCTGTCAGAAACATGACACCAGAAAACACAGACCTTTCATCTGACCTAATTACGCCTCTGCTAGCTTAAGAACACTAAAAATGCTATAAAAATTAATGGGGGAAAGGTTATTTATTATGACATATAAACCATGTTTCTAAATACACAGGAGCAAGATACTTCAAGAGAGATACCCTATCCCATCAACACCTAACTTATTTTTGTTAACAGAAGGTCTACCATAACATTTTGAGAAACAACCCCTTGAAAATAATGCTAACACACATTTGGATAGTCAACAAGTCTGAAATATATTAGAGAAAATTATGTTCAAAAATCTGTATCAAGCCTCAGATGACTTAGTTACAATGCTACAGATATTGGAAAATCTTTAGCAGCATAATCAGCTCTTTAAATTACAGTCTACGTATAGGATCAAAAAAATTCACTTCTTTACACCCGAGAAGTTGAGTCAAAAGATCAGCTTTGACACATACAGTATTCCTGGTGCTCACTACAAAGAATCAGTCCAAAACACCAGACAGTAGGTTACGCATGGTCCACTACATCCGCTCATTAGTTAGCTCCACATCTTTCATAACTGGAATCCATATTATGACCTGCTAAAAACATTCTTTTTAGCAAGACTAAAATGTAAAACTTTAATTAGGTAAAGGCCTGATAAATCTCATGTCCTGGATTTATGGGACATCCTGTGACTCAGAAAGCAGTTTTAATTGAAAATTAATAGGCTTATTTAGAATGTTTTCATGGTAAAACCCAAATACATGTATACCATGTTAAGGTACTAGACCTACATAACAACCACTAGGAATTATTAAAAGAAGGGATTAAGTATTCATTTAGAGCACAGCCATATGTAGTAAGAATGGTTTCAGTGGATTCCCCCATACAACATCACGATTACTGTCATCTGATCATAACACAAGTGCGACTAACACAGCTGCCATGTCAGCTTCTCTTCAGGGGCTAGGTCTTAATCATAAATCAACTGAATGACTAATTCAACATTGTTAAAACCAGCAAGTAACTACTTGGAGCCATTCCAGTTTTTACATCTTTCAAAAGGTCAATACACCTACTCAAAACACACAATAGTCCTATCTTTCACAGTGTTTTCTTCTTTTCTTGGATTGAAAAATAACATGTTAGCACTTAAATGTAAGTGTGTTTTACCTAACATTTAAAATGTTCATTAATTCTGAAAGAGTGACCCAGTAAAACAAAGACAATTTTAGTTTTCCTCTTTACCCACAGTCAAAAAGCCTCTCCCCTCCTTTGCTGTTTCAAACACTTTTATAGTTGTAAAAGTCTTATGAAAAGATTTTACTGCTGTTTCCTGCATTAAGCTTATTTTTGTTATATTATGAATTAAGCTCAGAAATAAACTTTTTCAAGTTGAACGACTAGTATAAATGTGGCTTCCATTTCAAATATGAACCTCTACCCCTCAAAATAATAACAAAATATCACAAATTAAGTGGCATCTAACAGTAAAATATATTCTAATCATTTACATCTGCTTGCACCACACAAATGACAAAAGCCTACCGTTAGCATCCTTCATAGAAAACATTTATTCTGCTCTTAAATATAAAAGCTATGTTGCATGAACTGAGGATTTAAAGCTGTGTCAGAGTGGCTGAATGAAAGAAAATGGCAATCTTTCTGGTTCTAGTAGATGCCTTTCCCTATCACACAATGTTTCCCACTCATAAATACATGACAAATACTTCCTCAATCATTTTTTACGAGCAGGGATGCACAGGGGGTAGTCAATGGCTAGCTTGAGGGAAAATAGGAACAGCAGGAGGCAGAAACTGTACTGAAAATGGCTATGTGGTAAATTCTCTTCTGGAACATCACTCAGCTACCCAGGCTTTGATCTTTCAGCTACAATTACACTCACATTCACGAGATCGGCGCATACTTTTTAAAAAAATTAATTGGAATAGAAACAGCTAAACCACTTTATTATATGACCCCTCAACTCAAACATCTGATTTTTTACAAATTAAAAATTGCAATTTATACAAAGATTTGCTTTCAGTTGGGTTTAACTATGTCATCATCACAACAAGTCTCACAAAAAACATGGGGTGACTGGCGACAGCTAAATCACAGACTGGCGTCTCCTAAGTAGTCTGTCTACCATTAGGGTCTGGGAAATGGTGTTTACTGTACAATTAGAGCCAGTGAACTCTACCTGCAATCATCCAAATACAGGTGCGAGGATCCTTTTTTGGATAGGGAAACAGACTCATCCATTTTCACATAAACTTCCACATCTGTACTGTTATAGCAAACCTTAGGAAACCTCAACATTTGCACTTAGAAAAAAATATCACCTGACAATAACAGAGTAAATACTACTAACCTGATTTTAAAGACTTCCTTGGGAAGAACCACTTATAATGTTTAAATTGTCATACACAAAAAACATTCAAGGAAGACATAAATTAACTCAAAATTATAAAATCTGGTCAAATATGAAAAGCTTACATTATTACATCAGTCACCAAGTTTATTCCAAAGCCTGTGTTTTGGGCTGAGAGGGTTTGCTATGAAATAGGTTAAATTTTGTTCTATAATACTAACACAAAAATGTCTTGGAGTATCAAAAGGACAGTTTTAGTTGCAGTAATTTCACAGAATTTATTCTAATGATTTATTGGAGTTAACCATCTGACATTAATTATTGTTTTGGCTTCCAGTCTATGAATGTTTATTTTTCAGTTTAAAGCCTTCTCACTCTTTGATATCATATGGAAATGAGAAATTTTAATGGAAAATTGAAACCATGTGCATCTAAGTACTTAATGAAGTACAGGGAGAAACAGAGGGTGTACTTTAGGAGAATTCAGATACTCTGCTTTAGATACTTTTGATTTGTTTGGATGAGTTACACGCATATATCTGTTCACAAACATAAGTTTATACATCTTCAAAGTATCTCACAAGTACTTGTTTAAAGATCTGAATACTAAGAAAAGGTCTGTTGCTTGGTTAATTTTTTTTTTTTAAACTAAATACTACTGCTACAGATTTTTCATCATATACTACTTAATCTGTTCTCTCCTCCACAAACCAAATATTCAACCCATCTAGAGCTGCCAATGACATGCTAAATGCTGTACTTAACAGCGGAATCCCACCATATGTCTACCATGTTAGGACTGGGTCTTAATCCAGTTCACTGAATGTCTGATAGATTGATTTCGTAACCATCACGTACTTAAGTCATAATATTGATGTCAGGAATACTTGACTAAAAACCTGAGCTGTTTGTGGCATTAAAGCCCATCAAAAGAGGCCTGTAAACCATAAGCAAAGTGTAAGCAGTGGCAAGGAAGACAGGCACCCAACTGCAAACAGAAGAGTACTGTTAAAATGTGCAGTTTTGCCACAGTTTGAAAGATTTCTGTGCAACTCACATAGCTTTAGTCCTCTGGCATTCAATTCATTCCTTTGTAATGAAAAAGATGTTGTTCAATCAGCATTATATAACATGACAAATCTATATGTTTATTTAAATCAGGACATCTAAATCAAATCTATTTTCTTAACAGTTAATGGACTTATGTAAAAACTTAAGGAAGGAAAGCACTATTCATTTCCGTTCTGTACTTTCAGGGTTTCGCCATATGCATTGTCTCTAAGCAGCAAATCAATGGGAGCATAACAAGTAACAAAAGTGCAATATCAGGTTTTTTTTCCTATTTTAATCAATATCTTTGGTGATCTTAATGCACAAGGAATTATTCACCACTGAAAAATGTTAATCAGAAACATATATTTAGATATTTAACCTGAGCACACTCACCACTTGTTTTTCTTTCTAATGTAGTCTTTTTCAGAGAGGTTAACCAAGTAGATCATCGGTTTTGAAGTAAAAAACAAATGTTTGTTCAAAACATCAATCTAGAAGAGAAAAACATAGGAGGAAAATTTTAAAAACAAGTTATACCAACTTGAGCTAATTTTATGACCATTTTCCTCATGGCATGTCTGAGAAGGCAACAGAATTAAAGTGTAGTATATAGATCACTGATAAACACAGAATGGGCTAATAAATTTAATATTCAATACATTATGAATATGAAAACAAAAAAAGACAGTAACAGGTAGCAAAATTAGAAGTCAATTCATGGGATGATATTTATAGCCTACCTCTTTGTCATTCCAATCATGATAGAAGCGGACAGCTTTCTTTTCATCTATTACCCAGGTCTTGATTTTGCACATTACATCCTATGCAAGATCATGAAAAAAGAAGTCAAAAACTCAGCTGGATATCAGACCATTCTTTTCCATAATCAAGGCATGTACATATTAAGACTCAAAACGTACACACAAATTAAAAATTAGATAATACCTTTTAAAAACAATTTTTTAATCTCCCAGAAAAACAGAAATTACTGCTTTAAAAGTCACTACAGAGCAATATTGATTATTAAAGCAATACAAATCCCATAATTACCAAGTTAAATACACAATACTCAAGTATCATCTCTCGCCACCACGAAAATTAGCAGAGCTCACAAAATATATGTAAAAATGAGTACATTTTAGATTGCTTTTCAAACTCAGTAAGACGCAACATTTCAGCATCCAGCGGGAGAGACCACGTACAATATAAACATGCCATTAAGAAAAGGGAATGGGTGGGAAAAAACACAGCAAATATCTTTTTTTTTTTTTTTTTTAAATTGTGAGCAAAAGAAATTGAGCCTATTATTGATGATCCACCCTTCAAGAAATTAATTCAAATGGCCAAAGCCCTTTTTATTCCGCATTAATTTCTCGCCAACACCTTCTCCCTCCCCCCCAAAATGAAACCTGCCAAAGCCTCCATTACACAATGGCAAGAGCCTTGCACTGGTGACCTCCAACCAGCTGCATTCACTTTCAGAACATCTCTCTCGGCAGGAAATCTAAAGGCCTTTTAGTTAGCAAGCTAGTGTGCATTCAGAAGGAGTAACTGCAGGAAGAGCCCAATGTGCTTTGTTTCTCTGGCCTTTCTTCACAGAAAGATTAATCATCTGTGAAATGGAAACGGCAAACAGCAAGTGACACAAACTGAACCCTTCAAGCCTTTCCTCATCAGTTTTGTGGTCGTGAATCCGAAAGCTGCGTGTGGCATGGTTCTCCTTACAGGCAGGTGTTAATAAAAGGCTCTTGGGTCTGAAAGGTCAAACTTGGCTCTTCTAGGAGTAGTACATTTTAGACTCGCCTATTTTTTGTTGTAGATAATTTATGATCATGCTTTAAATAATGCATTTTTTAAGTAATAATTGACACAACTGAGAATTCAGAACTTTAAAATACAAGGAAAAATTCCCTAAAGCGTTGAGCACACATTTTTTGCGCTTAATGCTATGCAGTTGAAGTACATTTATAAACAACCACAAATAACATCAGTATTTACTACAGTCTTTTCTAGTCTTGTAGTTGCTTTAGTGAGAAACAAAGAAAAAGCTCTTCTAAATCTTCAGATCCTGATTTGAAACCCTCCAGGAACAGGACTCCCCACAGATTTTAACAAGGAAGGGGCAAGCTAAAACTTTTAATGAAATCTAACATGTTCTGCCTAAGAATAATCACTTTTACTCTCCTATAACTGAATTCCACTCATAAATGTTTAAAAGTGGCTAATATAACACCATTTCCTACAAGGAGAAGATCAAAGTGCTATATTACAAATGCATTATGATTAAAAAAGCACTGTGCAGCTTTGCTATTAACTGTTCTTTAAACCCTAAAAGGCTTCCCATAGATCTCACTTGGCACTGCATATACAACCTTTGACAAGTAATGTAGACCATTTTTATTCATTGCCTAAAATTGTAGGCAATTATGTGCGTCACACTGGCCACCTGCAAATTCTGAATGCCTGCTCCAGTTGTCAGAGCAAAAAACTAATGTCGGAGGGGATTAATCTAGGGGGAGAGAGTCCTCTTTAATGGCTCCAGCAGGTGAAATGGCCCAGCTGGTTACTGTGATGAGTGGCCAGAACAGCTTATGTAGAGACATGCAACAAGATTATACATAAAGAAGAAAACATTGGTACCATCTTATCTTTAACCCTATGTGCTTTTTATTTTTTAATTAACCAGTATAAACAAGATAAGGGAAGCAATTCTACTGATAGGTACTTTTCATTTAAGATCTTTATCCTTAGCTTTTGTTTAAATAGATATATAAAAATCAACACAACCTCCAAGATTCCTGTTTAGCAGTGAAGGAATTCAGATTACACACTATTTCAGGTTTTAAACTAATTCTGTAGGCACCTACCACATGGCTTTCGGCATTACTATTCCTCTCCAATAGCACCACATTACTGCATATAAATTGCAGTTGATAAAAATTGAGAGAAAAAACATTATAGCACAAGTTAACAAAGCCAATCTTTTAGGCTTAAGCAGCAGTTAAATGTTTTTTAATCACTCTATAAGGGTAGCTGCACAATGCGGAACCTCTAAAAATTTCAAGCATCAATGCAGCAAATAACATTTGCTCTTTCTAAAGCCTATCTAAGCACACAGTTGCCAATCAGAACTTCTCTTCCACACTCACCTGCTACCTCCAGAGACATATCTAAACCCATTTTGGCACAGACCTAATTTTTCAGAGTTCTCACTTAGGTACCGGACCTGATGCTGTTTGCAACTGTTGTTCTAAAGGAGTAATTACATGGCTAACGTCTGCAGGGAAGGCTGACCAACAACTGAAGATGCTGGGGAGAACTGACAGCTGTATATGCTTTCAGCTTTATTCTGGTTTTACAGAGAAGGTGGGAAAGTATTGAAAAAACTTTCTTTAGAGAGAAGGATAGAAATATATAAGCAAATACAGCATTTATGTCTATAAATGCTGGTGAGGCAGGAAGACAAAAAGAAAAAATTTGGAAATGGCTCAGACAAAGCCAAATTTTCCCTGATGGACTCTCTGGGCAGTCACACCACGCAGAGTGCAAGGCAGACAGTCCAGAAATGAAAAAAGGGACAGATGAACTCAGATTCCTTTGCATCAAAGGCGGTGTCCCGTTTAAATGGGATTTAATACGATCCCTTAACAAGAAAACATTAAATACCAACAATAATATGAGGAAAGGCAACTGCTTTCACATACTTCTTTTGCACTCAGCTGCCCCAATACTCTAAATGAACACACAAAAAGCAAAAAGCACATTTTCAGGTTATATCTCATGTAGCACTGTTTTTGACTGGTTTTTAATTCCTTCTATTTCGGCCTGGCGAAAGAGTATGAATTGACCTTTTTATCTTCACTATCATTGTAACAGTCATTTAAACACATTTAATCATTAATCTAGTTAACTCCAAAATGTTTAATAACAGAATACAGAGCAATGATCCACTTTGTTTCATTAGATCTGGCGCCGCCGGTTGCACAATTCGAGGTCAATCTGTCACCAGCAAAACAATCCACTACAAGAGGGGCATTCTCATTCTGTTTTTCAGCTAGCAACATTATAGCAAGCGACATTTTAAGAGTTGCCAAAAACCCCTCCAAAATCCAATTTACTTACAGTTGCCAAGGCGTATGAAATACAGCAAACTTCATGAATATCAAATACCATTGTTTTAAACATCAGTTAATTTCTGACTATATCCTTGGCAATATATTTAGCACATGTGAATACTTAGTATATTTAGCCATATGCGATACAGTGATTTTAATTTATGTCCTGCTCTCATTTTCCAAAGACAGCAAGTAGTCAACCCACAAATGCTAAGGAAGACTTTACCAGTATAAAATGCTATAAAGAAATGTATTTAAATTGCATTTAGGAGATTTATCAAGATACGCTCATGAGACACTACTATGTAGAAAAATGTGCATACATTAATAAACTCTCTGGATGGCTGATAGTAATAATGTGTGCCAATGCCAAATTCTTCTTACAGCATGAGGGACTAAACTGAAGCTTGGAAAACTAACTTGTCTACTTGGCATCAGAGAATCCTGAGTTTTTGTTGTGAATTAGCAGGGCATGTAATTAACTTCCGCAAATTTAATAAAGAAGTAAGCAGTTGTGAGGATTATCACTTCACACTTGAAAATGCAAGTGAATTCTCCATGATCCTGCAGGCAATGAAAAAGTCTCCACTACTACAGAGAGTAACTGTGAGTACAGCAGGCTTTTTTCTCCCTACTAAAGCAGATGTTTCTGAGAAGCATGGAATGTTTCTCAGCACCTTATTTGATCCCTTCAAAACTTCCAAATGTAGTTACTGAACCACTCCCTGTAAACACCTCAAAAGCAGTTAAATACAATTTATTAAAATGCGTCAATTGTCCAAAATTCTACCATTTTCACTGCTCTGCTCCTCAGAAAAGCTATAATGAGTACCTAAAACATTCCCTGTAGCTCTTAGTCAGCTCCTCTCATTTCATACAGGAGTCCAACAGCATAGCATATCAATAATGAAGGTAGTAGTGTATAATTAATATATTCAGACCTCCCTGAGAAATCTGGCTCAGTGATGTAAGGTATTTAATTCAAAAACCACTGCATACACTAAAAGGAGTCAACACCACCTAACCAGTAGATCTCAGAACATAACTGTAAATAGAATATCCAATGAGTGTGTTTCTGGTGGCACTCCAAACAAATTATTTGCATTTTGTTAGTTATCATCTTTCAGCACCAGCCTAAAAAAGACCATATTAATGACACAGATTCTGAGAATAGTAAATTACTAACAACATGAATCATGTGTATAGTGACCAGAACTGCTAGACAGATTTAGTGAAAGCAAATAAGGTTTTTCAATACTATAAATTCAAGTTCATAGACTTGCTGGGTGGGGACAAGAGGGTAGATACAGTATTTACCAGGTAGAGGACTTCCCCTTGCAAGAGTGACTGAGAAGACTTGAGGGCTGCAAGCAAGTGAACTGTGCCGTAACTAGAAGACTAATACAATCTTTGAGTATATAAATAGACTAATGTCCAATATTTCTACATTTATCTCTGCTGAAATACTGAAAAACTAGAGAAAAACAGAGGTTTTGAAAAAGTGCTTATACATGAAGACTCAAGTGTGCTTAAATCTGATGCTTCCATTCTTATTGCATTTCATATATATAATTAACAAAAAGTTCACATAGTACAGGGTTTTTCACACCAGTACACAGAAACCAAATGGCTGAAAGTTGAAGCTTGACAAATACAGACTGAAGCTGTATTTCTAAACAGTAAAGATAACTAATCACTGGCACAGC